TGAACAGTTTATACACAACTTTAATCTAGATTTCTAGCATCTTATTCGAAAATTAGAAAAATACAATAAGAAATTAAACAGTTGAATTAAAACAAAACATGTCTATGTATATAAAAAGCATATTTTGTGTATAAAGATTAATAAGGAAGCCTAATTAAAATATCCAGTTATAGAACACAAAGCTATTAAAGATCAGATATATACTTAGGTGTGTCTATTTCTCCTTACACACTTTGTTATCATTCAGATATTCCACATATATTTGATATGTATTACAGATTATAATATTCATTTTGCTTTTTTTTAGATTATAAATTGTCGTAATTACGAGTGGGGAGTAAGGTGACTTTAAATGGGGTTTAAATGTTTCTGTTGATATTTTAGTTACACATTTTAAGAATTGTAAACAGTTTAAAAAAAAAAAAAAAAAAAAAAATCAATTGGCACATTGCAAAAACTATTAGGTTGGTTATTTTGTGAATTAAAAACTCTGCTAATGACTACTTTTTTCTTTCTTCTATTTTGGTTGAAAATTTACAAATATATGGAAATATAGGTGCACAAACATTTAAGCAGAAAGAAGTAAAATCTATATGAAATAAAAATTATCTTTATCAAAACACACACACACACATATATATATATATATATATATATATATATATATATATATATATATATTTTTTGTGTGTAAAAATTAAGATATAAAGATATATCTGTAAAGAAAATATAATAGAAAAGACAACAGGACAAATTTTTCTATACTAATGTGTTTAATTCCTTGAGGAACTTTGCTATTTACTTTTATTTAGCTTGATAAAGTTCCTCAAGGAATGAAACGCATTAGTATTGAAAAGTTTTCTGTGTGTGTGTGTATATATATATATATATATATAATTTAATTATATATATATAAGTTATATATATATAAGTTATATAGGTATTATGTTAACTCTATCACTGATATTGAGCGCTTTCCACTAAGTACCGTGCATATAAAATTATATATATAGACAAGTTCTGTCTAAGTTTTTATTAAGTTTAATTGGTAAACATTCCAAAGTTCATTTTTTCTTTTTTAAATCTGAGTACTTTCAACTGTTGCTATAGTCATTGACAAGCAACAGCTGAAAGTACTTAGATTTAAAAAATGAAAATGAAATGAACAACTTAGTTGCATATCTGAAAAACTTAATAAAAAATTGAACCCACAGACCTTGTCAATATTGTTCAACAAAACTTGTTTAAAAGTATTCTTGCTATCTAAATACACCATATATATATATATATATAAAGGGAAGAGGTTATAGCTGTTCCAACAAGAGAAAAGTATATATATTAAAAAGAGAGAAACCACAAACGTTTTTGGTTGTAATGTGGATTTTTTAAAAAATATATTATGCTTTCCATAATTTTGCTACACTTATTTCCAGTCTCATGACCTTCATCAGGCAAAGAGTGGATATTTTCATATATTATTAAAAGGAATTAATTTTTCTTATGTTTTTCGATGTTAAATATTCTTGATATTAGACATTCTCTTTTTTGTGTGTTAGTGACCCAAATGTCTTCCTTGAACTGGCCAGTTCAAGGAAGACATTACAACCAAAAACATTTGCAGTTTCTCTCTTCTTTTTAATATATATATATATATATATATATATATTTTGTATTAAGGTAACTAGGTTAAATTTTTGATATAGTTCAGGTGAGTGTTATCAATATTTCTAGTACATTGTAAACCTGTGATGAGTATGATGAAAAATCTCAACCCTCACTAGAATGAATTGTTAAATGGGAAAATATATTCTGCATTTACATGAAAACCAATTTATTAAATATTCAAAATATGTTCAAACCTAAGATCAAAATGGCTAAGTATCTTAATATGCTAGATACTATAAGGAAAACAACGAATCAGAAACCCAGATAAAGTACATTTTGAGTAAGGGCTCAAAATCTCTACTTTGTAATTAAAAAAAACCAAAAAAACTTCTTTCAGAAACTATTATTAAGAAGAAGCTTTGATGTGACTATCAAAATTCAGAGTTAAATAAATTCAATCATACTTAAGAGCTGATTACCTATGTTAAAAATCTGTAGACATTTACAAAATGAACACAGGTCCTATGGTTAAGATGTTTTTTTGCTTGAAGCATTAAGAGCCACAAAATTTATTTTTCATCAAGTTATATAGAAATATTCAACCTTTAGCTCTTTGCATTATTAATATTACTTCCCTTTCCACTGTTTTGTTTTTTTTCAAAGCTTTTCAATTGCAGTATCCTTATTGTTAATTTAATTCAAAGTTGTTTCCTGTTGCCATGGCAGGATATGACAACTCACTTATGAAATTCAAATTCAGAGATCAGAGTCACCTTCAGTGGCAGGATAAACTTTTTGTACAGCAAATGAAGTCACATACAGTGTGATAAAGGTTAATATCGATTACTTCCCAAATTTATTTGGTACTAATTTATTTGACTAGTCCACTTGTAAAAAATAAATCTTTTTAAACAATTTTTGTGGATTAGCCTTCTTTAGACATTCCTGAAACCACAACATTAGTTAAAATCGAAATATATTGAATTTTTATCATTTTAAAAGTTGGGGGTTCTGTTCATAATATGAATACTGTGTCAAATTGATCACTGACTTCTTAAAGAGTTATCTGAACTTGGTCTTTATTTACAAATACCAAGTTTACCAATGCCTACATCCTTGATAATATAATTGCAATACTATTACGAATCAATAAAAAGCAGATCACAAGTATGCAATTATCAATAATGTGGGCTCAAGTTTAAACTTGACATTTGTAAATAAAAACAAAGTACAGATAAATCTTTAAATTGGTGGGAATTGATTTGACACTATGTTTATATTAGGAAGCCCCCCCCCTTTAAATGGTAAAAAAAAAATCAATATTTTTCTGATTATGACAAATGTTGTGCGTAGAAGGAAGTCTAATCAATGTTAATCTACAAAAATTATCTACCCTCAAAATTCTTTTTTGTTTTTTAAAGCAGACCAGTCAACTTAAATAGTTGCTTTTATTTAATTGGAAATTTCAAATTGCTTCCAGCACTAAAATGAAAACATTATATTTGGATCTTAACCTAGAGACCATCACGGAGGAGTTAGCACTGTCCTGTCAGAATAACAAATACAAATGAACAAGTCCTTCTTCTATTGTTTCATTTTTCAGTTCCATCTTTTATTTGTCATATTTTAAGTGTGTAATGTAAAAGAATGAAAGATGTTTAAGCAACTCAGATTGGAGAACAAAAGATCCAGAGATAGAGATTCTAAAGCTGTGAGTTTGTGCCAGTTTGTCATAGCAGTAAAAACAATTGTGTAGAAATTGTGTAAGTAAAGGTTATGAGAAATAGCAGTAGTCATTGGCATTCATTACAAGGCTGTTTATTTTAAAATTTATCAATAAAAGATTACAATATCAATGCACAATTCTCAGGCCCAAATATACAAATTTTAAAGGTTGCACTTTTTAAATTACGTTTTTTTTTTAGTATGTAACTATTATTTACATATAAATTCCTCCTTGTTTTGTAATTACAATATTTTCAATTTTTGTTTCATTTTTTAATTTTTTTAAAAATTTTTTTTTTTTTTTTACATATGTTTAATTTTATTGTTACTGAAATGTGTTTTCTTTTTTTAATCTTATATTTAAAATTTTAAAAATTAGAAATATAGTTCTTTGCTTCAGATACTTTATAGTTTCCATCTCTAATTCTCATTCACACGACAATTTCTTTATTGGAAGAATAATCAAATTTTAAAAAGCCTAAAATATTCCAGTTAAGACAATCAAAAAGCACATAATCTATTAAACGAACAAAATGATTGAAAATAAGATTAAAAAAAAAAAGAAAAAAAGAGTAAAACAAATAATAGTTGAAAAATTATACCAGATTTTTTTTGTGAGAAAAAGAGTTTTAAATCAAGGAAACGAGAAGAAAGACAATCCTGAGACAATGGAAACAGAAATTGCTTTTTTTTTTTTTAAATATATATATATATATATATATATATATATATATATATATATTGTTTATATGTTAGTGTGGTATAGATTAATTTTCTGTTTAAATTCTACACACAAAAATAAGATTAAACACATTTTGCTATGGAGTATTTCTGATCCTCCTTTTTTTAAATCAATTTTCCAACTTCAAGTTAAGTCATTGCTTGCTGCATTATATTTGAAGACAATCAGCAAAATAGTTTATATTATTTCAATAGACCTCTCTGAAATATTATTTCCATATGGTCCTTTTTTTTGTGTATGTGTATATATATATATATATATATATATCCTTTTTCAGTACTGTCCTGCAGAGAAAAAAGAATCAATATATATTAAAACCATTTTCTTTAAATTCTGAATTCATTACAGAATTAAAAGTAATTGTCAGTTATTTCCATTTCATTTTAAATATTTCTTTTCTTTTTAAACAGAAATACAGTTTCATAAGCTTTCATTTTTCACCACAAAATCTTAAGTGTCATCTTTAAGAAAAAAAATATGTTTATTTTATTTTTCTTTATTTTTTAACCCCCATTTTTACTTTACATATCGGCTGTTGTCATGGAGACAAGAAGTGATCAACTGTTTTGATGAAGATGACGATGATGAAAGCAACATAAACAAAATACTGTCCCCAATCCATCAAGCTGTAAGCACACATCTGAAAGAAGAACAGGGGAACAAATAAAAAATAAGAGGGTAAGATAGGAATTTGTTCAGTCATTCATTCTTTTTTTTCAATTTTCAACTCTTGGAGGTCTGCTGTTTGCAATTGCCAGACAATAAATGAACATGGCTTCAATGAAAGAAAATTCATGTTGTAGTAGTAGTAGTTGTAGTAGTAGTGGTGGTAGTAAAGTTATGTAAAAAAAAAAAAAGATCATGTTTTCAGTTATTTTGAGATTTAGCTGGTTGCCTGTGCAGGGTGTCTGCTACTGTACCCCGGATATCATACAGGGTTAGTGGAATCCTTGAGGAGGCCCATGAGTACACCAGCTTCTTTAATCTGAAAGAAACAGAAATAATTGTAATTTAATAAGGAAAAATACAAGGACAGTATATGTGGTGCTACTAAAAAGTTTCAAAAACTCAAATAGGTTGCTTAATTTTTTTTCATCTGTTAAATTATCTACAGTTTCCCATGTCTTGCAGGACATTTCAATCTCTTGATTTCACTCCACCAGGAAATAAAGAACCTTCTATTAAGTATTTTTTCTTTAGAAAACTATATTATTCCTTAAGTACCTTTAGATTTTTGAGTAATACTCTGTATGTATGTTTGTGCATGCATGTGTGTAAATAACAGGTAAAGAGGCAGTGTAGTTATGACAGTTATGCTACAAAGACAGGATTTAACACTATCTGATTGTAGAATGATTATTTGGACCAGAAAGTGGAAGCACTATCTCCAATGTAGCAACTGTTCTAGGTTTGTCTTGGACAATAATAGTAAGGCAAGCTATAAATATATGAATTCCAAACAGACATTAGAGGCAAATGAAAACCAAAGAATAGCATCACCAACAATTGACAAAGAGAGTAATCATCCAATAAAAGGAACATTGGATCAAATCACATCCAAATTCAATGCCGACACTGTTCAACTCATCATCCAACATATTTTACAGCATATACTAAATTGCATAAGGCTTAAACGTTTTGGCCCTGAAAAATGTCTTGTCTATTTAAAACTCCTCTGGATTGGTGAGAATGGCATGATTTTTGTTAAGCAAATCTTGGCCATTATTTCACATTATTTTTCTGTTAACCCATGAGTAATGTTCCTGCCTTAGCTTAAGTTGAAATCTGTTTGCAAGAACAGACTGCCTATCTTTATAAATAGTGTATCATAATGATAATCAGCCATTTAAAAAAAAAAAAAAAAAAAAAATCAAAATTTTTTTGTTTAATCTTTTGGCAGTAATTTGCCAACCTTTTAGAGTTATACATATAAAACATCCTCATTTTCATTATGCTTCTTAAGCGGAAAAGGAATATTTTTATAAACCCTACATGTTCTAATATATCCCCAAGTACACAGATGTTATTAATGTGTATATGATTTAAATAAGATTCCTTCCTACTTTTAAATTTTATTCTGTTTATATAGACACTGTCGAATTTCATTATGCAAGTCAGTATTTTCAACAGCATTAATGATATGCAATAAACTGATTTCAGAGCAACATTCTTCAGTGACTACAAAACTGTCTCTTTCTGGACAATGCTCTTCTCACCCTCTACATGAGCATACAGAGATATTTTTTGCCTAGTGCACTGTAACCTTATTTTTGTTGATGTATTTTCTTTAATGAAAATTTGTTTTGTTTGTTGTCTTCTCTCATTCAATATCTGCTTGCAGGCCAATATACCACCCACAACACACCATATTTGACCAGTCTGTGATCCTTAACATCCTGTCAGTGAAATTTGGTCTGTATAGTGACTGATGTTACCCAAGACTCATGATTACAGACAGACATTTGTAAGATGACATGCGGGACTTGGGAGTAAAGACAGCTTTTGCAACATCCATTGGCTTTTCAGGGTTGGAGAGAAGGCATGTAAAACAATTATATATTTTGTTAGCTTTCTCTTTCTAGAAAATAAAACATTAAATTCTTCTTAGCAGTCTTTATTTGGGCAATTATCTACTTTTTTCTTTTAATCATTTCACCCCAAGCAAGGTGCTAATATCACTAAGACGTACTGGGAGTAGAAGAGAATGAGAAGAGTTTAGTGAGGAGAAAGGACAATAAAAGAACAAGATTCAGGAAAACAGAAAATGGCAATTGACATTACATTTAAATCTTTGAAGATTGTTGGTGGCAGAAATAAGATATGGCAGCAATATTTAATGCACAGACAAATGATAGATTTATAAATGTGCAAGATGAATTCTGATGAGTTTAGCAACAGATCTAGCAATTGATTCAGTATAACCACTACACTTATAATGGCCAGATACTACCATGGCTACTAAACGCATTTGGTAACCCAACATTTGTAAACCATTCCAATAGATTATTATTAGAATGGTTATTATGTTTTCATGATCTAATTTCTGTTTGTGGGGGATGTGTCTGGTACTTAAACATAGCAATATCAGCACATTGTAGCAAGATACTTCTTAGTACACTACTGTTAAAATGTTATAACTTGAAGAATAAAGCATTTTCAAGTTCAATTTAAAATTTAATAATACTGTGGAATTAGTATTTATGCTCATGCCCATTAATAATGATTCAATCTTTGTGTATTTGTCAAAAAAGTTGAAAAGAAAATCATATCAACTTTGAAATAACTAAAGAAATGAAAAGAATACTAAATGTTGCTTGAAATAATGATACTCTAATGTTCACATATCCATGCCAATAAATAAAATACAAGTGGCAGAAGTGGGGTATTATCTGCCCTTAGATACATAGTCATGTGATGCTAGAGTAGTCATGTAACATGCCAGTATAAAAGCATCACCAAATTCCAAAACACCCTCTTTCCTTGCAGACCTGCACAATGTAAACATCATGTGAACAGCAATTGTATTTCAGTAAATCACTTTCTCCATACATACATTCTACACATTCATTTTCATGCAAGTGGTACTAAAACAGGGTCTCTATACTTATACTTTGTTTTCATTGTCTTTTTCTTCTTCATATTTCCAGTTTCCTTTTTTGTACTTCTTTGAAAATGTTTACAATGTATTTTGTAATATGTAGTAATACATAGGTATTTTAGGGGTGATTGAAAATGCTCCACAAATATCTATCATACTTTTATTTTATAAAAAGAGAATTTTTATTAGCTATTTTTAAAAGATCATTAATCATTTCATTTCTGTTCTTCTATTATGAAGATTTTCAAGTTTATTACCAAACAACATTTTTCCTAAACTCTAAGTATTTAACATGAGACTACTGCTGATTAGGAATTCATGCTAGTATATGGTCAAGAGCTGCACAGTCTTAACTTTACAGTCTTGATAGAGTCCAAAAGCATCTTATGCGTACTTGTGGGTGACAAATTATTTTCCACCCTGCAACCAGTTTCCTCCAGATAAAATATTGTAAGCCTCTTGCTGCTATTTCACTATTTCCATGGAAAGTGTTTTGATGAACCATATTCCTAAGTTCAACCAGTTCAGACCTTCACAGCTAAGACCCACCATGTTATGCACACTGTAGTGAACCACCCTCATTCTCTTTATATTCCATTGGTGAGATGTAAGTTCCACTCAAGTAGCTTCTTCACACGGACTTTGTCGAATCGCCTCCCAAATGGTTGCTTCCCCAATAACTAGAATCTTGACCTGTTCAAGTCTAGGGTCAACCATTATCCTCCCCAAATATCCTCATAAACTGTGCCTCTTAATCTGTAACTCAAGTGTCTCTTGGGCCTTGTACAGGATGAACAACATTGTGAAAAAAAAAACAGTATAGCTAAATTTTAAATGTAGTTGGAGTTTCTTTAATTACAGAGTAGTGTCCCTTTACATTTTATTACTAAAAGTTTTTGTAAACATGTATATTCAAAAATCATTTAACATAAGACTACAGATGATTAGGGATTAATAAATTTAATGTTAAAAATTATAATTGAATTAATGATAACTAAATGTAAAGAAAAATCTGGAAATATCTACAGATTGCTTAAAAGCTAGTTTTTTCTTTAATCTGTAGATATTTCTATATTTTGAAATTCTTATTTCCTGTATTTGTGCATAAATGAAAAAAAGCCTTTAAATAAAATATAAATCACTGAAGTAAAAATTAAAAAATATAATACAGAATAGAAACATAAATACTTTGTAAATTTTTAACTGTTTATCTGAATACCATTTGAGTATCTGTTTTGTGATTACCTGTCGAATATCTTCCAAGCAATCCTTCTTAGCCTGTCGTAGCAAGTCTGACTGTCCTCGCAACATCCGAACATTCCAAGCAAAATTTTCAATAGCCTTTTCAGAGGTGAAAAAAAAACAAGATTAAAAAGTAATATAAACAAAGTTTTAAATATAAACTCAGCAAAAGTAAACAAAATTAATAAAAAAAAAATCACTGAAATGGAATTTTCTATTTGCTGATATTTACTGGCTACTGCAAAAGATTTACAACCTTGGCTCAATTTAGACTTTTTGGTAATTTGGGAACTTCCAGCCTTGATGAGTTAAGGCTTTCATGAGACATGGATGGCTTATCCAGCTGATGATGAGTATTTTACTTTTAAGGTAGACAAGTGTACTTTCTAATTATACTTGAAGTGAAAAAAAAGAACTGAAGTATTGCATTGAATTTAATTTATCCATTCATTTAAACAGAACATTTTTTAGACTTGTACTGCAAAATTTTCATTGAGTCTGTTTAAAAATAATGTTACAGTACTTCCTTGATTATCCAGACAACTTGGGATAGGGTTTGAAAAAATATTTTCAGATAATTTAATATTCTGGATAATTGAACACCTACGTGGTAATAAAATAAGCACATCCCATCTCCCCTCTGACTTGTAACCATCCACTATAATGAAATAAACGTTTTCAGTGCTAAAGTTGAATTAGTCAAATAAAGCTTCATAAACCTGCAGAGGGTCGTTTGGGGACCTTGTGGCACATAGTACACTAGGTCTCTGTATTGAGCAATTCAAAAAGTGTGGATGGTTCTGCACAAAACCTTCATCACTATAATCAAATCTCATGTGCTGGTTTCGGGCTGTTGATTCCTAGGAACTGATCTGCTTGACCCTCATACATCATATTCAACAGGAGAGTCAAGTAATATATATATATATATATATATATATATATATATATATATTACAATAGACTTCAAATGCTCTTTAGAGATTTTTCCATGACTGTCAATTTCTTGTTCAACTTTTATCAGGAGGTAAAGAAGAATAATTCTATTGTTTTTTGTATTATATATGTGTATTGTATTTTTTATATTTTATATTGAGTTCAATGTGTTTTATAAAGTTGACATATTTGACACAAGTTTTCTTATATATATAAAAATAATGTAAGTAATTCTATTACATTTACTTGTTTTTAAAAAGAAATATAGTCTATTAGTAATTAAGAGTAAAAATATTTTAAAATTGTAGTTAAATAAAACGTATTCTAGCACAAATGCACCTAATAAGAATCTTTAAGTATACAAGTAGGAAAAAAAAAATCCCAAAAAACTTTTTTCCGTTAATAAAAAAAACCCAGACTACATTCATTTAACAGATGTCAGAATTTGTTGGAAAATACACCCCTACCCTCCCTAAACTTAACCTCTTTTTCGAACGTAACTCATAAGTGATACAGCAATAGTTAATAAAATTGAAAACGCTACCACCCCTGTCTGAATGATTGAATTTCTCTGTATCCTTGGAAACAGTAAATTATGAATTTATATGTTCGTTTAAAACTCAATAAATTTAAAAATAAGTTATTCCAATATTTGCTTGAAGATGAAATGGAACTAATGCTTTTAACTTAATTATATAATTAAATCTAAAGTTTTTAGCTTCCATTTTTGAAACATGGTTATTACTGTGTAGCGAAAAAAAAAACATATTTTCAATCAGTTAATTTATAATATTTATGCTCTGTAAATTTACATTGAACACTGTTTTGTAAAAATAAAAAATATCAATAAGAACACCAGATTATATATCTTACTGTTCTTTCTTTTATATATTTATATATATATATATATATATATATATATATATATATATATATATATATATATATACAGAGGATGTGATGGGTAAATTGTCAACATTTTACATGTTTAATTTTGTACATGCACAATATAGTAGATTCAGTTGGGCACCATCTCTGAAAAAAGAGATGTCAGTGTTATTTCATTTTTGCATAACTTAGACAACAATTTATCCATAGCACCCTGTATGCTATGTTCTAATATGATTTGGTCATTAATGCCCTGCACATGTCTTACCATTATACTACTTGAATCATTTGCAGCACAGTCAATCTCCAATTATTATGACTGGCTCTTGTCATTGAATCAAAGCTACCTGATGTTTAGACACTACACTGTGCTGCACTTCAAACAGTTTTTCAGGAAAATAGATTTTTCAAGTTTACTAGCTGTTATCACATTTTCCAGTATTGATAGGAGCTTCCTTTCTTGCTGTATGTTTGAAATAGTGTGGAGTGTTAACATCTTGATTATGTCATTTTAGTTGCTGCTGCTGCTGTTGAAAGTCCTAAAGTGATAATGTTTCTACTATTCAGTACAGGTGTTTGGGATTTTGTAGTGCTAGTCCATGAAGTTCAAAGAAGTACGGACCTCTCTAAGACTGGGTTCATTTGGTCAAAACAACTTTTAATCATCAATCCAAAAAAAATGATTATATACAACTGACATTTTAGATATTTCTGAACAGGTTTGGCATCATGTAAGACATCCATATGAAAATCTTGATTTGATGAAGCTATTTAAGAATATGATGAGTTTTTAGGTTAATGTTTTTAGTTTGCATTCATGTAATGGAGAAAAAATACATTTGTGTTTATATTTAATAGAAGTAAAAAGATTTTTTGTCTTTTGATGGGTAGTTCAATTTAAATGTCACATGTAGAATAAAAAGAAATTAACCAAGTATTATTTTCAAGATGGAGACAGCCTGTGCATCTGTCTGAATTTATTGAAATATTTGTTAATGTCTGATTTTATACACACCTTTGTAGTTTTCTTGCCCTTTAGTCCAGACTGTATGCATAAATTATCAAGGTCATCATGCCACTGAAGACCCATTGTTTGGCAGTTATTCAACTGAAACAACAAAGCAGCAAGGTTTTAACAGTTTTATAGATTTTTAAAATTATATAACAATAAAAGCACATTCAATTTGTCACTGGTTCCATGGAAAACACAAATTATATTAGAATTTAAAAAAAATCAAGACCACTATTTGTGAGCAAATAAGACCCTAGTTTTACTAGAACTTTTCCTTCTATTTTCTTAAATTGTTACCCAAAAATATAGTGATGTTTTCTTATTTGCAGTGTTAGTGTTATCTGTGATGAACCCCAGAGATAAATACTTCATAAGTTTTACTTCAAATTGTCCTAAAGTACAATAATAGTGACAGCAGAAAATTGGACATGATAAAGAGAAACTGTAAAATGTTTCCTTTAAGTGGACTTCAGAAAAAAAATCATATGCTAAGGTTACCGAGATCTGCAGTAGGTACCGCCAAAGAATCGCAACATCTAAGGTTTAAAATGAATTTTTAAAAATGAAAAATCTTTCTTGAAGCTTTTATTTTAAGCTAATAGATTAAATTTGATATTTTCAATAAGTAAAATATATTGCTGTATTTCAGAGCCAATTTAAACTGCATAGGAGTTTTTTGTCTTTTTTAAATCACAAAAAAATAACTGATTTTAACCATTTGTCAAGTACAATGTAATTTTCTATAATAAAAAAAAAACCTTTAAAAATAATATTTTAAATGTTCTAAAAAGGATAAAAAATATCATTTAATAATTAAAAAATCCTTTGGTCTTTCCTCATAATAATAACAAAGATTTTGACGATAAAACTTAGTTTTTATTAAGTTTAGGACATTTTTTCATCATGTATGCCCATTTTTAGCAAATCTGTGGAGGTACCTAATTTATAGTAAGAATGAATCATTTGACATAACTTATTACAGTATATTGTTATAATAATTTTTATTTATGTTAATCTATTAATGTGCCTATTTATGACATAAAATTAATTGAAAAATTAAAAACAGTGGAAGTAAAAAATGGTGCTGGGGGAAGCTAAGAGGGAAAAATGATGAAAGGAAAAAGGAGGGTAAGGTGAGGAGGAAGGCTGAAAGAAAAAGATGGGTGGAATGGTGAGAGGGTAAAAATGGTGATGGAGAAGGTTAAAAGAAAAAGAAGGTGAAGGGGGAAAAATGCTGAAAGAAAAAAGTAAAAGTGAGAAAAGTGGGGGGGGAGGTGAAAGGAAAAGTTACAAAGAAAAGGTAAATGAAAAAGGTGAGGGGAGTAAGGTGAGAGAGGAAAAAATGTGAAAGGAAAATAAAAGATGAAAGGAGGAAAAAAGGAGTGAAAAAAAGTTGAGGGGAGAAGAAAGAATGAAAGGGAAGAAAAGGTGGGAGAAAAAGTGAAAGAAGAAATAAAAAATATCAAAATTAAAAAAAAAACATTGTTTTCATTAAACTCTCAGATTGTATTCTAATTTGTTGCATATGCAAAAAAATTTAGAAACCTTCACAATAATTTCATCCGCATTTTCCACTAGGGTCCGGCAGTTAGTCACCAACTGAAAGATAAAAAAAGAAAATAAAGTTATCTATATGTTAGAGAATCTGTGCATGTGTACATGATCAACCTAGCTATCCACCTTTTTGCATAAATAGTCACAGGTCATCAAGTAATAACATTAGCTATATGAGGGCATTAAAGAGTATAGCATGTAATTTCTAACCAAATGAAGTGAGATATTGAATTTTCTATGAAGTACATAAATATTTTTGATTTTATCACACAAATAGTAAGGCAAATAATGTAAAATCTAACTTCCAAGGTTACTGGGAACAGAATCAGTGCGTGGTCTTTATACTTTGTATTGTAGCCAAACAATTCCATTTTTGGAGGTAAACTGCCACAAGGAGGCAACTTGGGCAGAAAAAGATAAACAGGATATGTGATACTTGACATTGAAGCTCAACAGAAGTCAATAAGTAACTTAAAAAAAAATTAAAATTAAAGTGATAAAAAGATCAATATTTTTGTTTGTAAAACATTGCTCAAGTCTGAAAAACATTTTCAGAAAATTCTAAAATGTTCAGGATTAAAATTTTTTTTTTTCTGCTGTTTTAAACCATATCTTCCTGAGATCATTTTAAACTGACACCTATTTTTTCATATGATGATAAACTAACATTTTGTAAAGTTCAAATTTCAGTGAAATATGTTGAAAAATTTTAAAATTTTCATCCAAAATCAAGAAAATACAAACTTTAAGCAAAATTGTCATATCTGGTAGAAAAAAACAAGGCATCAGACAATAGGTGGCTATGAATTAAATGTATAGAATGGCTCAAAAGTACAAAAACTACAAGTGGTTATGTGAGTGAAGCATACTTGCTCCAAAAAATGATGCATTTAAAGAAATAAACTCAAAGCTGTTGCAATAAATTCCTGGGGTGGCTTAACTGCACAAGTCAACTGACACAATTCCAGACACTTCAGAGGATGTATAACTGAGTTCATTAGCTCTCTTGAGTTGACTGCTGTTCCCTACAAATGGTTTCAACCCCCAAAACTTGTAATGCTCATCATGCTTCTCAGAAAACTCAAACTTCCAAAGTCGTGCAAGGGAATTTGCCTAGTTGCCAAACAGCAGCTTCTACATTTCATCACAATAACTATCTGAATTGGAGTAGAAAAAAAGAGGATGTATTCATTCCCAGGACTCTCATAATTTCAACTGATTTGTCATACGAATTGAAGAGACTTTAAATTCCAGTAAGACTCAGTTTTGACATGACTATCAAGAAGTCACAAGGACAAACAAGCCTCAACCTGACTTCTTGCTTTTCCTAACATTTTATTGGGTGAAACACTAATGATTATTACTAAAAAATGGTGCAGCCACTTATATCTGAGGGTGCCAGTCTACTAGGGTGGTTAGCTAATCCACATTACAGATGCCTGCTTAGGCACATTTGGGTTTGTTCAACAAGCACAGAGCCCACCTGTGGCTTATACTGCAATGATTCTGAGTGAACCTTAGTTACAGTTTCTGGAAGAGAGCACATTATCTAGCATGATCAACCATTTGAACAAGGCTCTTTCCAAACATTGACGTAAACAGGGATCACCTCCTTCAGACTGATAACAGCAAGAAGTCACCTTCCTGACAAATCAACCATGGTGAAATTCATTCTTAGGTTTAATGGTCAGAAAGCAAACATTCTAATCACTCTTAACCACTAACGATTATATATTCAGAATAACTGACAACCTAAAGGACTACTTTATTTGTTTGGGACATCAGAATATTATTTCCATAACAGTTACTTTTCGATGTGCAAATCATTTTTTAATTTATGTCAGGCCAAAAGAAATATTTCTCCCGGTTCTATTTGAAGTTATCTTTATAGACAATGCCAGGTATTTATTATAATAAAATCTATATATTAAAACAAGTATATTCATATATTTTTGTCTGTAACATTTTCCTGTACTAGAATTATCTCCATTGTATTAGCAACACCAGGAGGCAGTGTTTTTGTTATAACAATGGTTGGCTGTACAAAGATTTTCATGAAGTTGAGGTGGGGTGGGAACTGACTCCACAAAATAATAGAGTACAACAATTGTAACTGGAAAAGATATATTTAAAGACTCATGTAAGGACCTAATAATAGTAAAGCTTTAAAATATCAATTTCATATATGCAGTCACTATTCATAGTATGAGTAAAATAGTATATTCAACAAAGAATACTTACCAGTATGTGACATAAAAACTGATATTAAATATCAGGGTGTTCAAAAAGTGATTATATATATTTTACCACTATGAATTCTGAATCAACCAATCAAAGCAGAACCAAAGTTGAAGGGTCTTGAATTAGTTTATCTTCTCTTCTATCTGACAGTGTGTTGTTTATAGTGCATTTCAGAGTTTAACCACATAGAGGATTATAACTTTAAAATGCCACATATTTACCACTGCTTACTGTATGAATTCCCAAAAGGTAGTAAGTGCTATATTTTTATAAACATCTGTGCAGGTTAGACAGATGCAGTGAAGGCTCATACATGTCAGCTGTGGTTTAAAAATGGACATTGTAACATATCTGACAAGCCTCACTTTAAAAGACGACCCATTCTGAATAAAGAACCTTTGAAAGAGTAGTGAAATGTAACCATATCAAAACTTGGTCTGGCACAAAAACTTAATGTCACATTCACCAATCCACAAACATTTTGATCAAATTGTGAAAACTTGCAAAAATGGAATTTGGGTTCCTCATGAGCTTTCACTTGAGAAATAAACACAAAGATCTGCTATCTGCAGGTGCCTTTTAACCAGGAATGCCAACTTTTGCAGTGCATTGTTACAGGTGATGAAAAATGGATTTTGCATGTCAACAAAATGAGAAACCAATGGCAACACCAAAGCCAGAACTCCATCAACACAAGTTTTGACTTTGTGTTTGGTGGAATCTGAAAGGTGTCATCCATTACAAGCTTGTGCAACATAAGACCTTTTTTGCCAACATTTTGATCAGGTAAACAAAGTATTATGTTGAAAATGTCCTGCTTTGATAAACAGAAATGGTGTATTGTAGAGTAATTGGCCATGTTTAAATGGAATTGGCAGGAATGCCCAACAAACAGAATTGACAAAGTTTGCAATAAACAATAACAAGAGAAAGAAAAGAAATAATATGAAGCAAGCAAACAATATATGCAAGGCAAAGCAACAGTAAGGCGGCAAAAAGTCCACAAACTAAGAATGGTATTAACACACAAAAACAGATACAGACAAGCGATCATGGTGTTCTGGCTTAAAGACAAGAACAGAACAGAACTAAGTAAGATGAGATTGGGAAGTGGCCTATCTTATTGGTCAGGCATGCATTTTTGTGTTTTGCTTATAAATTGGGGAGGAGGAACTATATTGCAGTTATTCCCATGCTGATTGGAACCAACACATATGGCAATGCAAAGGTACACTTTGCATAACAAACCCAAGAAAAAATTACGATGCAAGGTTCTTCCACATCATTTCATACCCACCAGATTTATATATACAAATTTTCATTTGTTTCAATAACATGAATATTCCTTAAGTGACAGAACATTCAGAAAGAAAGAAGTTTAAAACGGTCTAGTTTTTCCACACACATATTTTTTTGGGGGTGGGAGGGACAGATTTCTTTAAATTAAATTTAAAACCAAAAATTTTCCTTCCTGTTAGACTGCAGTTGTTGAAAATGAAAGTGATTATATTCTTGGTAAATAATATTTAAATAAATCTAACTTACAATTCATTTTATATCCTTTTGAATAAAACAATTATTTTCCAAACACTCTCATACATCCAACAAAACATGGTGCGATGGGTAAATTGTCACCATTTTATATTTTTAATTTCATGCATGCACATTGTTTGTGTTTGATTTTCTCAATTGCACAGTATTGTAGGGTCAGTTTGGCACCATCTGTGAGAAAAAGAGCACCATAATGCAACTCACTCCACCAGAAATTTGGAAATGGTGTTCTGTACTGCTTGGCATTCATACCAATGCAAACATTTCAGAATGTTTGGGTGTCAATCTGATGACAATGCAGAAGATTTGAAAAGAGATGGATGAGTCTGATGGTGCTTATGAAGTGATTACTAGTGATGGCGATGTTATGCCTTTATTCATCTTCCTACAGGGCATCAGACTCAACATGGAGACCTACATCAAGTGCCTTGAGGAGGTAGTGTTACCCTGGGTCAAAAGGGTGGCTGCTGGAAGACCCTATGTCTAGCAACAGGACTCTTCACCATGCCACACAAGCAGGAAAGTCTAGTCATGGCTGTCAGGCAATTTCTGCAACCACATCACCCCTTACATTTGGCCACCTAACTCCCCAGGCTGCAACCCCCTTGATTATTATATGTGGAGTGCAGTTGAGTGAGAGACCAACAAAACTTCTTGTAACACTAAAGATGAACTGAAGGTAAGGATTATGACAGTATTCACCAACTTAAGGACACTGTCCAGAAGAGTTGCAGGAGATACTGAAGTTGTCTGGAGGCTATGGTTGAAGCCAATGGCAATTTTATTTAATAAGTTTACTCTTTAGTATTTCAAGATGTAATTTTGGTAAGTATAATTGGTTAAAATGAGATGTCAGTGTTATTTTCATTTTGTGTAATTTAGATGACAATTTATCCATTGCACCGTATATATGGTATATAGCAATAAATATTCTTTATTTCAAGTAGAGAAATAAAATTACTTGAAATGTATTTTTGTATTGATCTTCATGCTAAAATACTAATAGAAAAATGACTTACATCATTAAAGGAGTACATGGCTTTTTTGACCAGATCTGGTAGTAGAAACTGTGATCCTCGATATTCTAAATGTGGATACTGAAAATAAACCAAGTGAGAATTTCCACTGAAGACAAATAAGTACAGAAAAAAATTTTAACATGTCTGCTGTGGTAGACATACTTATACATCTTTATGAATCCTGCTGTCAACATAATATATACACATTTTCAAGACACCATGAAATGTTGGTCTTTGGAGATTGTATTATGAACTTTCAAGTGCTTACTGCTATTTTCAAACCAGCATCAACATATAGTAGCATACAATACAGGTGGTTTTGTGATGTATTTTTATTATATTATGTGAGGAGAGTTCCATTTAGTTTAGTCTGTACTGCAGAGTATCTGATTGACACCAAAATGGCAGCACCCATAATAAAAATCACTGTCAGCATCTTTCTAGTCATATATTTTTCAATAAATGGTAATTACCTATTTTCCCCCAAAACGGCCAGTACAACAAACTTTGAACAACAAAGTATTTCTCATCAATATAACTACATGATTGTATATATGTTTGTATTAAATAGGTTCAGTTTAACAATTTAAAACTATAATTAAGCTTGCAGACAGAACATTTTAAATTCTCTGATTATGCCAAAGAAATGTTTTAAAACCAATTTAGATGAGAAATTCACACACACACACACACACATATATATATATATATATATATATATATATGTATGTATTGAAAGGATTTTTATCTGACATTATTTCTTATTACTATAAACATTATTATTTTTTTTTATTTTACTAAATGGTGAAATTAATGACAACCAACCTAAGTTGAGAAGTACTACTAAAGAAAAATTGTGCCTCTGAAACTGAAGCTAGCAGATATAGATTTGCAAAAATCCCAATGAGAAATGTGCTTTCCTTAACTTGGTAATTTAAACCTTGCTCTGTCAGGCTGGTCTCTATGACCAAACTGGTAGGACACAAAAAATGGGTTCCCTAATGGATAAAAAGTGATACAAGTTTGAATCCTGTTGGAGAAGCTATTTTTCTTTAGTCAGATCTCTCTATTTATTCTAGAACTCAAACATGTATACCCACAAAAAAATAACATTTATAGTAATAAGAAATAATTTTAAAATGTCTAAATTCCAGTTTTCATTGATTCTAATAGAAATCAAAAGTTCTTCCAAATATTCCCTATCTTTTAACTTATTAGTGCCCACGGTAAAAAACTGTTCTTAATTATAAGTATTAAAATAAAAGTTTGGTATTATTATAGGTTTCTAAAACAAATCCAGTATTATAGCTTTATGAAAATCCAGTATTAATTATATGTTTCTATCTATAACCCATCAATATGCATCATTCAATTTTTCAGAATGTGATCATTATTGTGTGAAAGCAAGTTTTAGTCACAGCATCATTTTGCAGAGGACAAAATGAAGTCCAGGCATGAATTTCAAAAAGGGGACATCATACAATTAACATCATTTGGCACTGAATATGTAAAAGAAAAAAATCTTTTTGTATTTTTTTACACTTACCGTGCCTTTGAGAGTCATGCTGAATTGATCACCACTGGAATTGACAACACGGGAAGCCAAAAGTCGAACACCCTGTTTAATATTGGCAATGGGTTGAAGGCCACAAATATCTTTGAAAGAAATCAAGGCATCATGTACATTATCTCGAAGCTCAAGTCCTTCCTTTAGTGGTGTCACTGCATTCTGAAATAAAATAGAAATATGTATTTATATGAATCCTCCCTTTCAGCTGAAGCATTATCAGTTTTTCAGTTTCTACCATAATGGAAATATTGCCATCAAAAAAATTTAAATTTGAAGCAATTGATGCTTTTCATCTGGAATCCAATACATTGCTTATAAAATGAAAATTAAATACATCACTTATTAGTACCTACATAGCAAGGCATCATAATAAAAATGTAAAAAAAGCAATGTTCTTTTAGTTTGTTTTATGGTATATTAACTTTCAAGTTATTTAATGCTGAATTCTGTTGTTTGTGATAAGTAGACATAGGTCTAGTTTGTAAGAGAATCAGAAAGATAGACATATGTGCAGCAAACAGGTGGCCCCTATTTTGTGGAGAGGTTATCCCACTGCATAGCAATACAGTCCACTTCAAACCAACCCCAGGTATAATACCAATACTAATGTTCACCTAATATGAAATCCAAGAGCCACTCAAGGTAGAGTGTTACTATGTGGTGTTGTATGAGCATAAGAAAGTGCAAGAAGTGAGGTTCAAGGGGCTATGCAGAAACGATAATGGTTAATTATAGCCTTGAAGAGGGCAAGATTATAGTGACCAGGAAAACATCTTGCCAGGAGTCTGTTCCACAAAAAAGCAGTCCTTTGGAAGAAATTGTCAGAATGGAACTTGGTTCTTATATGTAATTTTTTTTAAATGCCAATATTTGCCCAATACAAAGCCCAAGAGACACTCAAGGTAGATGGTTACTTTGTGGTGAAAAAGTGTAAGAAAGGACAAGAGGTGAGGTTGAAGGGATTATGCAGGAAAGATAATGCCGATGTATTGAAAAAAGAAAAGTTTCATTTTTGTCTTTATTCCTATTGTCTTTTTACAGATATATGTTATTTATATCTGAATTTTTGCACATACATACACAGATTAGCTTTATCATGCATCAGGACTGTTTTGGAGTTCCGGGTTCCTGGTCACAGAGCTCAAGGTAGACCTAGGAAGACATGGAAGGACTGCATTGGGAAGTCTGTGCAGGAGTGCGGCCTTGCTCATATTAGCCCACTTGGCAGGGATGCTTGGAGTGAGAGCTTGCCAACTGCTGCCTACCTCAGTCACTGGGAAACCCGCAGCAGTATAATCAAAGCTCTGGATCTTGACTTGGCTTCGCACAAACACTCACATGTATATAAGATTACTTAATTTTTCGTTGTTTTCCCTGACTTTGAAGTTTCTTGGTAATGTCTATTATTCAAGGGGTTCTGTTTTTTAAATAATATTTCCAATTTTTTCAATTTGTTCCATGTCTTTTTCAATCCATTTTGTGCATGTTCATGAATTTAATGTTCTATAACGTGCATGGTCATGAATTTTTGCTTTTGTTTATGCCTTTATTTTTTCAGTTGTAAAATTTTCTTTGAAATTAAATTTTTTTTATGGTTTATATTGAAGTTATGTTATATTATTAATTAAATTGTAATATTTTATTTGATTTTTTATGTTATATTATTACTAAAGTAGCAAAGTAAATATTTGTTATATGTTGGCATTAACCTATTGTCACATTTTTCTCATTTAATTTGCTTATTAAAAGTTAATATTGATAATTTTTCTTCTAAAAGCCATCTACAATTCCTATTGGTAATATTATATGGGAGCACTTTTTTATAATTTCCAATTTAACTTTTTTTTTTTAACATGGCAGTGCCAACAGGATACAACAGTACAGTCCCTGATAACAGCAAAACTGAAAGCTATAACAAAAACACATTTCATTATAAATAGATTCATATAGGACAGTTATAAAATAAATTACTACCTTAAAAGTTTCATCTATACACTTTATTCCTGTATTCTTCACAGATATTGATTCTCCTTTGCGAGTCCGATTTCTTTTGAGGCCCCTCTTGTTTCCCTTCTGTAAAAAAACATAAAACCATTAGAATAAAAAATACTAACAGACTACAAAGAATTATGAAAAATGTTATAAAGTTTATACAGGAAACTTTGATTGACAAAAGATGGCGTGTTTGACTTTTGTGGTTGTGTTGTCATGTCCTGGTATGGCAACAGCAAAAATGACCTAGATTGTAATTAAGAACTAGTCTACTGAAATTGAGGAGTTTTCCATACACAATGGAAAGTGAAAAAATACTTGTGAATAATACAATGTATTTTAACAAGTATATATAGAGGCACACTATAGAATGAAGTCAAAATAATAAAGTGAACAGCAACAGAGAAAACAAGATGATTGAAGGAACCAGAACACATGATCATTTGATTAGCAGGCCAAGCATATAGGAGCAAAAAAGTCTTTTATAGCTATGAGGTTCCAAAAACATGACCATAAAGGGCTGGTGAAATTCACTCAGTTCATTGGAAGCTCACAAATCTAATGAAAAAGCAAAGAGGGGTCAATTCTAAGAACTTGTAGATGGAAGCATGAAATGTGATATGTATGGGAGAGTAAGTATATGCCTCCAGCAAAAAATAGGATTTATCATTCCAAAATATAACTAGGGAAGGCAAGAGTATAATGACTGAAACATTGTGTTAAAAAAAAAAAAAAAAAAAAATAAAGAAATTCATCTAAATGAACTTAACTCCATAATACTGTAGTGAGCCCTGATAAAAATAAAATATATAAACAAAAAAGAAAAAGAAAGGAATGCCAGAAAATAAAATTGACACAAACAGACTTTTTGATGTTCACATCAAATTCTCAAGCCTATTCAAAAGGATAAAACCTGACACCTCAACTGGGATCAGAATATCACTAGGAGAAGACAGAACAAAAGAATACAGCTATGCAATAAGAAGCAGTCAACAGGTCATCTGCTACTGACATTTCTGCCATGTTAAGAGCCAAGAAAACACAGCAGATTGACAGTGACCTAGTTTCTGAGATGACTATTATCCCTACCATGGTCTTACTTCTAAACGAACACTAACAGACATTTCTCCAGACTGCAACCAATATCTGCCTTATTAAAAAACTTTTTGCTATGCCAAATACTAAAGTACTCACTCTTCACTCTAAAGAAAATAAATAAAAAATATTATTTATTTTAACCTTTGAGTGAGTTTGTTTTATTCCCAATGCTTCCAATAAAATAATTATTCTACCACCTATTCACACTGGCAACATTCTGAGATGAACCCATATGCTGCAATACTGTAATATTCAATATGCATGTGCAGAGAATTGTTATCTGCCATCAAATACAGTACATGACACTTACTGTAATTTACTCTTTATAGCTGAATTGTGAAATTCCTTTAAAACTAATACATAAAACAAAATGTTAGAATTTACCAATTGTGAAGTTATTATTATGAGGGTGGGCTGAAAGGTTCACAGGCTGACTATGAAGGGTTGATTTGAAAGCTGTGAAATCTTGTATGCATTAATTTCAACTCTTCTTACTAATAACTGCATTGTTTCTTTCCAGGTGAACTGACATCTGACTGTCCAAAGAAGATTTCAAAAGGAACTAGTAGCAACTTCTCTTGAAAATGAATAAAATTTGGCATTGTGGTGTTATCAAGTACCTGCAGTAAAAGGGTTTAGCTCCCAAGGACATTCACGCTAACATTGTTGCTACATTAGCTTCCTCTATCAACAGTGTAAAAGTGAATAGATGAATTTAGGATAGGGAAGGAAAGTCTTGAAGAGGATCCAAGGCCTGGACATCCTGAAACTACCAAGAAAACATTGATAGAATTCACCACATGGTGATAGATGACAGGCAATTGACTTTAAATCAAATAGCCAATACTATTAGCATATCCTGTGAGAGAGTTCAGACTGTTTTACACAATAAACTTGGTTTTAAGATGGTTTCTGCTTGATGAATTCCATGTCTTCTGGCACCTGATCAATAGTGCACCAGTCAGATCACATGCTGGGAAAATTTAACATAAGCAGTTATGAAAAGCTATCAAAACTAAACCCCCAAGAGAACTGATGATAGGGGTCTTGTTTTATCAGGACAATGTTCCAGCAGACAAATCCTTGGTTTCAATGGCTGCTGTGTATGACTGTAGCTTTGAACTGGTTGATCTCCCTCCCTATTCTCCTTATTTGACCCCATCTAACTATCATCTGTTCCTCAACATGAAAAAACACTTGGATGGGAGCCAGTATCGACAGTGGTGATGATGATGTCATATCTGCTGTTAATGACTTCTTTGACCAACGGAATGAATGCTTCTTCACCAATGGGATCCAAGCACTGCAATGCCGATGGAAGAAGTGTGTGGACTGCAAGGGAGACTATATCTATAATTCTCAAAATGTGTGTGTGTGTGTGTGATCGGATGTTGTTTATGTATTTCCACAGTTTTTATTCGATATCAATGAAATTTTTTTGTTTGATAGATAATTCTTCAGTGCCAATTTTGAGTCCAAATTGGCTGGAAAAATTACAACCTTGAAGGTGAAAAATAAAAAAAAAAAATCAAAGGCAAAATTTAATGTCTGTAAAAAACAGCATACAATCAATTTAGAGAGTTGAAATCTAATGCAAAAGACTATTAGAATTATGAAAAAAATATATTATAAATAAAAATTATCATATATTATTATGACAGTCCATGGAAGAGGTTCCTTCCTTGCAAGATTGAGAATGCAAAGACAGCCCTTTTGAGCCCCCCCTTCAAATTGTTAAAACCCCCCACTTGAGGATGTGCTTAAGTTGTATTCAATTGTTGTTACTAATATTGATTTTTGGGTGGGATGACTTTAAACTTAACTGCTCCAATTGAATAGCAGAAATTCCCAGTAATGAAACATCTGGTTGAAGACGGGTTATACTGCTAGTTGAAAAATAAACCTCATTTAGTTACATTCCATGAGAATATCTTGGTCAACTTATAAACTTTTCAGTTGACCCTCATATGTATAACATTTTTTAAAGAAATTATATTATCTCTGTGCAACAATAGTGGTTACAATTCATAGACTATTATGGATCCATGCTTACAAAACTACCAACACATTTAAGTTCTATAGCTGTTCATTTTCAGATCACCCTCTAAGTATAATGCCAATGTATTAGATGACAACAAATATGGTGTGTGTAGAGTGAAATACAATTGGCTGAAAATACATATAAAATAAAAAGAAAACAAAAGAAATCATAATAATTTAAAAATGAGATAGAAATGATAACTTACACCACCACCACGTCTGTTGGTGATTGCAATGTGAACAAATAGTGTACTATTCTCAAGAAGTTCTCCTGTGTTGGATAAAAGTCTTATATGCCTGTAACCTGAAAAGTAGATATAGAAATATATATCAACATATATAACAGAAATCAAAAACAAAAATTAATGGTAAGTTTAAGTTAGGTTCATTTAATCCTTTTCAAACTAAATAGCCAGACCTGACTTGCTCAACGTGCATTTTTCTACAATTAACCCAATAATACAAATTGTCTGTAGAGGTGTATATGCTATTGAATCAATCCAAGAATTATAGAAACTTTTATGTAGCAGCAGCATGCTTCAAATTTAGTGATATATTTTGTAGATCTTGCTAAAAGGTACAAAAAAAGAATGGACATAGTTAAAATGGGACAAAAAATGAAAACAACTATGACAGTTTGATATGAAAGGAGACGATAACAATAATAGTAAAAGAAAATCATTGAACAAGCTGATTATCGCTCATCACAACTTGCTTAAGGAAAGTAAAATTTAAAAAAAACATAAAAAAGAAAACACACATGTATCAGTAATGTATTGAGATAAGTATATTTTTATAAACAAATCACATGCTTTTTTGTTATTATTTTTTTCTTATTTCATATTAAGCCAACTATAGTTGTTTCCCCATTTAATTATGTCTCTTCTTTTTTCTATAATTTTGTATCTCTAGTAATATCTATAATTAGATATATATATATCTTGTGTTTTTTGCCAATAAATAATTGAATTTTCATATAATGATAATCAGACATGAATCTGTGAATATCCGAAATTCCTTACAGCCATTCATGCCTTTGGTGGTGAATTTGAAGCAGAAAAAATAGATGAATTTAATTCCAATGATGGCACAGTCTTGGAATTTGACAGCACTGGTAAGAGGCTTAGTGTATGTACTTTTAAAGGCAATATTTATTGTTATACTTACAATATATTTTACATTTTTTGGCATTCAATTTTTCTGGAAATGACTAAGGCTAGATATTCATGAATAAAAAATATCCCTATCAGAAAATATAAAGGTTAACTTGTTTTAAATCATCAAGAAATTGAATTTAAATTCGAGTTATCTTAAAAGTTGTAAAATTTAGAAATTCAACCTGGTATCAGTTGAATTTTGCAAGTGCCATATTTAGCCTTTTCTAGAACTGTTACTACACTTCCAGCTTTTATATGGTGGTGGGGGGCATGGGGTATTAAGAAGATGGAATTGGTAAGCAGAGTTCAAATTCTAGTTAAGACAGTCTGTTTCATTTTGGACTAATGAGTTTGAGAGAGCCCCAGATCCATCTGTTCTCCCACTACCTATAAGTCAATTAGCAGGGCAAACTAGGCCCTCTAGCCTTGGTTGGCAACCAGTATATGAGAAGGGCAACACTGAATTCAAAACTGTAGAGAACGTAATTGGAAACTACTGTAATTTCTTTTTCAAGAACAATCATGACAATACACAGTTTACAGATATCAAAGAAAAGGAAATTGAGAAGAGCCAACATCATTTGTACCCTAAAGAGACAGCACCCTTAAGAAAGGATTTTTAATGTCTTCTTTCTTCCTTGAGACTCATATATTTTATTTTTTCATTGCTTAATTTATTTTAAAGTTTTCAGTGTTTAATTTATAAAGCAATTTAAGTAATGAAGTTAATAATTTACTACACATGTTTCTATTAAATATTTATGCAGATGCAAGAATAAAAGGAGAATATGATGTCAGAAATCAGAATTAGGATTTGCTAAGTATCTATTGCTTTTTATCAGACTCTCATTCTACAGTTGTTAGAAAACAATGTTGAGATGAAATAAAGAATAAGCCATTGAGGAGACAAACTTGCATGTATTTCTTCTCTAGAATCCTGTTCTTAACATGACAACTGTCTTCCTGGTTAAGCTACAGTAAACCTCTTGATGCAGTCAATCAAATCAAAGTTGCTTTTTGATGAGCACAGAATAATCACCTGAGAGTTATGATAAAAAGCAACTGAAATGAACATGAAAGAAATCTATGTACCCTGTTCTTTCTTAAGAGATTCAAAAAATAATATGACTTCAATATTTTACCATCATTTTAAAAAGCATTGAACTGAAGGAAATATATCAATGAAGTGACTTAGTTTTGTTTAGTTGTTAAGTGTAGCTAACTGGTTGTTAATAATATAAGGTTGAGTCATATGCAATTTCTGTTTTTAACAACCAATTGTAATGATGAATGTATAATTCTAGCTGTCCCTTAAATGTAACATAACAGGTGATGAAAAAGGGGTTGTATAGAACAATGTTCAGTGCGAAAAGTAGTGGATTGACAAAAATAAATCTCCACAACTGACCTCGAAAACTGAAAAGCTATAGAAGAGAGGTAATGTTGTGCATATGCTGGGATCATTGTGATATTATTCATTGAGAGTTCTTAAAACACATTGAAACATTAAATGCACATTTATACATCCAGCAGCTGCAATGTGTCCATTAAAATTTGAAAAGAGCCCTGTGCTCGCCAATGGGAAACATGTTCACCCCCATGACATCACAAGGTCATATACAGCAAGAATAACACAGGAAAAAAAATTGGTAATTTGGTTAGTCAGTTCTACTCCACCCACCATATTCATCTGACTAGTACCATTCTTGGTCACTGCAAAATGCATTGATGGGGAAAGCTTTCTCTAATGAAGACCAGATTCAAGAGTTCATCAAAGACTTTTTCACATCAAAACTTGATGAATTTTACTCAAAAAGTATCAAAGAAGTCTCTAAGTGGTGGTAAGTCATTGCAAATAATGGTGAATATATAATTGAATAAACTAGAATTGAGCTTTATTTTTTGAATAATGAAGTTGATAAAGCGAGTTGAAAAATCTTCACTACTAATAATACATGGCAGTTAAGAATAAATACCGAATACATTAACATAGCTTAGTTTTTGCATCCACTGTGTATGCTGTGGCAGCATACACAGTGGATTAAAGGGAAAATGCTGCTCTCTTCCATGTCAGATCAAGACCTCATACAGCAAGAATAATGCAGGAAAAAATTTGGAACACAGTTTTTTTAAAACTCCACCCACCATATTCACCTTGAATAAACCAATTATTATTTCTTTTTATATGGAAAACTTTAATGAAATCCAGGTTAATGTGTTTATCGAAAACATTTTTCATATCCAAAACTCAAAAGCATCAAAGTACTGCCTGATAAGTTGAAACAAGTCATTGAAAATAATAGTGAATATATAATTTAATAAAATGGGATTGTACTTTATTTTTTGAAGAATAAAGTTGATAAAGAAAAAAGGAAATTATTTATGATCCAACCTAATAATTTATCTGATATTATGTATAGAATATCTATTTGGTATCACAGAATACATCTTTTAAGGGAAATTATTTAGGATTCAACATAAGAGCATTATGAATTTGAGATTGCTGGAAAAGTTAGAATGCAATTCAGCAAATTACTAATAAATCTGTCAGTTGAGTTTTTGATTTGTTCCAACATTCTACCTAGAGCCAAATTCATGTATTTTGGGGAGACATAGTGAAGAAAAAACACTTTATGATAGCATTAATTTAAAAACTAGGATATGAATAATAATATTGTGGTTATGATACATACCTGTTTCCATACATTCAAAAGGTATGGTGTACTGACCAATAAACTCATCTCCAATGAATTCATCATCCAACACAGCAAAACGAACTAAGGCCAGTTCGGGTAGGTTGATCTGGAACTCAAAACTCTCATCAAAAATTGGATTGTATCCTGCAGAGAAATTTTTCAAAAAATTAGAGACACATATAGCAAAAACTAATGAATAAGTACTATGTGATTCACATTAGGAAATACCAGAGGTTTGAATCAATTTGAATGTCCATCAGGAACACCTGATATAAGAAGAGTTGATCTGTGGTGACCCTAATATGTAGTGGGCATGCCCTAAGAGAGACCAAATAAGCTTTGTACTCATTGTCACACCAGAATATAAGAAGAACTAGTACTTCAGAGGGATCACCTAGAAGGTGAGCCAAAGTGAACAAGTGCAGAATCAAGCCTCGAAGGATGTTGCTGGTTACACCAATATGAACAAGGAAGTGAAACCAGTTGAATTTAGGATATACACACACAAGTCAACCAAATAACAAGAAGTTATATAAGCCCCTGTTTTACAAGAGGAGAAAGCAGAATCACTTGCAGCCTTGAAAAAAAATCAAACATTTAAAGAAAAGTCTGAAACTACATACTCTCCCTGGTTGATGTTAATTTGACAGAATCCAGAAGTGAATATACAATTACTTTATGCATGAAAAATTTAGTCAGATGTTAATAACATGACGCATGTGTTTATTGCTCTTGTTACTTAAATTATGGTATTTGGTATCAGATTAAATTTCAGAATATCCTGATGGACCAATTCAATACCAATGTGATCTGATTTAATTTATTTCATGCTATCAATTCTGGCTGACCATTGGATAGTTGACAACTGATGCAATCATTGACAGCCTATGTGTGCCATAAGAATTTATCACCTTTATGAACAAAAGGGAAAGATATTTAAAACCCTTTCAATTATTGTGAAAACAATAACTACTTTAGTACAAAATTCTGATGAATCCATACCATACAAATTCAATGTATAACACTCACAAAAAAAAAATAGATGAATTTTAAAATTTTTATTAAGCAAATTAGGATTGTGACCTGTAGTCAGCTTGCTTCATTTTTTGTTTAGTTTGGGTCAAATAAATAGAAAAAAATTTCAGATGTCACTAAACTAGTACAATTACTAGGATTCTTGAATACAGCATAAAATAATGGTAATATCAGCTGTTTCCTTATAAGGAAACATTTGGAATTCATTGCCAAAGTAACCAGTTTTACTATTGGTTGAAGTTTATAAAATCTTTCATTTAAAACAATTTTTCAGGAAAATAGTTTCTTCAAGTTCAGTAACTGTTATCACTCTTTCCAGCATTGATTGGGGCTTTGTTCCTAATGTTATGTTTGAAGTAGTGCCAAACATCAAAACTTATATCATTATTTTCTCTTCAACTTGTGATATTCATTTTAGTTTAGTTGTTGATAGTCCTCAACTGATATGGATTTTGTTATTTGGTAGTTATTTATTTCTGATTCTGTAGTGCCAGTCCATAAGGTTATGGTCTTTGTGAAGACCTACAGGATTCATTCATTTGAAGCCATTTTTAGTCATTTATCTAAGAAAGCTGTTGTATTCAGGTGACAGTTTAGATATTTCTGAACTAATAATATATTCAGTAACTTTTTTAATTGATTTTCTTTTTTGTTTTTTTAAGTGTTTAAGCTATTGATGTCAATAGTGAAGTTGCTTAAGATTTATTCAGAGTACAGACCCCAAAGTAGCATGTGAAATAATGTGCAGCAAGAGGATTTTCATTAAGTAGTTTCCTTTTTCTCCTCTTGTATTTGGTTGCCAGACTGGCATCATTGTCGTGACCTTGATATGTGCAATCCTCTAACAGAATACCAATTTTAATCAGTTTCCTTTATTAGATTTGCAGTACAAGAACCTGTTTTCTCACAACAGTCTTCAAAAATGTGAAATCTCTCTTGAATTTTATGTTCAAATTCTCTACATTGAAGGTAACATGAACAGAATCATGTGTTAGATCAACTAGGTCTGTCTATCATCTGGTCCAAGAACAAGAACAATTCTTTCTCTCCTTCTTCCTCCTCTTCTCTCTTTCTCCCCCCCCCCCGTCAATCTAGTATATCAGTCCAGGGAAATTGTCTCCATTTATTAAAAGAATTTTGGTCTGAAGAGATTAATATATAGATATTCACAAAATAAATTATAACCAAAATGAATCTAAGGTTTGCTTCTTTGATTTATTATATATATGTGTGTGTGTGTAAATTATTTTCAGATAGTGTATCTGTAAAGGAACAAAATGAACAAAAATAGAAGAGAAAAAACTATTCTTAGTTGATGTGTTTCATCCTCTGAGATAATTTGCCTTGATAAAGTCCCTCAGAGGATGAAATGCATCAACTAAGAATAGTTTTTCCTCGTCTTCTTATTCACACGTGTGTGTGTGTAAAATACCAGATATAACTAAAATATATCTGTAAAAGGACAATATGAATATACAATATGAACATATACAAGGTAACCCAAAAAATCTTTGCCATTTTTGATTTATTAGAAAAAAAAGAAAAGGTATACATAAAGGTATATTATAACAATAGTCCTTAAAGTAATCCCAAACCTTTTGCCAATGTGCCTCCAGCCAAACAATGCCATTGCAATAAAAATCAGGTGTCTTGGATGCAAAGGAGTCTGTGCTGCAAGTCTTCCTTATTTGCAAAGGATTTACCATGAAAGTGGTTGTCCAGGGAATGGAAGAGGTGGTAATCTGTTGGTACAAGATCCAGAGAGTAAGATGGATGGCATAGTGTCTCCCAGCCAAGTCAATGTATGGTATCCCTGGCTACCTCTACCACATGAGGCCTGCCATTGTCATGGAGGAACTATACACCATTGTGATTAACCAATGCTGTCTCCTTTTGTTTTGGAGCCTATTGCACACATTCCAACTGCCGCGAATACATGTTTGCACTGATGGTTTGGCCCATTGGTAGCAGCTCATAGTGCACCACTTGTCTACCAGATACAGAGCATGATCTTGCGTAAAGACAAACTTAAGGTAATTATAATCCTTGTGATGGTGATTTCTGTAAACACGCTCTGTTATAATTATTTTAAAATTAATTGTTGTGGTTACAATATTTTGTAAACAAGTATTCACAATGCAAGGGAGGTAACCAGAGATAGTAAATTGCAACATGGTGTTAAATGTCAGTCAACTCAAATACATTTTAAAACATTGCTACAATACTCATAATAAATATTGTGTAGTGTTGGTTGTTTGCTTTTGATAAAGAGGGCCTTGAGAATTTGAATTTTTTGTTTATTATTTTCATGGTGTAATATACTGGTGCTGTCAACAAGTATTTTCCTGTATTGTGAAGGTGGACAGGAATGTGTCTTTAAATGTTGTGTAATATAACTTGTATCTGACAAATGGAATGTAAAATGTCTTGACATTGTTGTTGTCAAGCCAACATATGTACTTACTTTTTTGTCAGCAATACAATCTCATAAAAGACAGTTAAAATGGTATAAAATGTTGGTCTTTTGCAAAACACTAGTTGACAGAGAAGAGTTATTGCATATGATTAAGTTGGTTGTGTTAAATTTAGTATAGTATATAAATTAGTTTTATTTTTTTTACTGGGATCAGTACTTATGAAATTGTTTACAATTTCTTTCATCATTTATAGTTTGAATGTATATAATTACAGTAGGTTGATATGTTTAGGGTTATTTGAGGAAGTATTATGTTTTTTGATTTATGTTACTATTTCTAAAGGCTTGTCTAATCTGTTCATCAACAACATAATTAGGAAAGTCATTATTAATGAGAATGTGTTTAATGTTTTTAATTCAGTGTAGAAAATTTTTTGTGGAAAAGTTAACTTTTGCACAATTTATTAAATTTTTTATAATAGTTATTTTGTACTCATCAGGACATTTACTTTTATAGTTTAGAGTGAACATGTTTATGCTAATTGTTTTTTTTTTATAGAGGGAAGTAGTAAATGTGTTATTACTAGTGTCTATCAATACATCAAGAAAAGGATTTTTATTAAGTTCATATGTGGAGTTAAGTTAGTATTTTTGAAAATTTTCTTATAGTTTGTGTATTTCATCTGTTTTTAACTAAGATGAGAATATCAGATACATATCTTAGGTAGATGGAGTGTTTTTAGTGGTGTTAAATATCTTATTTTCAAGGTTAGCTATGCAGAAGTTGCTAAATGTTGGTCCAAGAACTGAACCCATGGAAATGCCATCACATATGTAGATATTATTTTTGTGGTCATAGAAGGCACCTCAGTGGTACAAGTTAAAAGTAGTTTTTGTAATATATTAGGTTTGCGTTTTAGTGGAGGGAAAGAAGGGTTGTTATAAATATTCTTTATAATTATATCAATCATTTCTTTAACCGAGACATTAGTAAATAAACTTTTAACATCAAGTGTGGCTATGGTTTCATTATTAGGTTTTTGTGTTTTTAAGATTAAGATTAGTTCCTAAGTTGATTTAATACTTTATTTACTAGGTATGTATGGTGTAATGGTTGGTTAAGGATTTTGGTTAATTGGTAAACCAGAGTGGAAATTTGGTATATGATGGAACAAAGAGGGAAGTTAGGCTTGTTTATTTTTATATATGTATCCTGGTTTGTAGTCTCTGATTATTTTAGGGAGTTTTAAGTCGTCCTGTTCTGTGTTGTTGGCTGTGATCAGCTTATTCATTTTTAATTTCAATTGGTTAGTAGAACTTTTGTTGACTTTTTTAAATTTGGCATGATTGTCAAGTATTTTCTGAAATTTCTAATTATAATTGAATTTACTTAATACAAGAAAAATATTGTTTTTTATCTGCTTTTTTAATAGTTATCTGAGTATGCTTACATAGTTCCTTGGCAACAATTTTTAATTGTTTTGTTAGGAGTGTGAAGGAATTTTCCCTGTTGTCATGTTTGTTTTTTTATTGCTTCAGCAGATCACAAATTTCTGCATGTGTTTTAATTAGCTGTTGTTCTTTATGTTTTTTGTATCTTTTGATATAACATTTTAATTTCAGTTTTTTTATCCAATGTATTGTATTGTTTATAAAGATGACAGTTAGGTCCAAGGTTGAGCAATCAAAAGTA